TTATTTTTAATATTATATATATATATATATATATATATATATATGGTTATTATTATTATGTGTAAAAATGTCCTTACTTTTGGTTCGACTGCTTAATGAGTCAAAGATGTTAAAATTTGCACATCTATTTTTGAAGTCATTTATATAACGTTGAAAGGTTGAGCACTTTGCATTGTGGGATGTTCAGTCGTATACTGCAGATTTTTGCTTTTTGCTTCATTTAGATGCAAATAAAAAAGCTGAATACTGTGCAAAACAAGTATGCAGCGCGTCATTGCAAACATACCCATAAACACTTTTTTTATTGTTGAATTTTATTCTCAGACTTGCGGTGGATGGCTGGTTGCTCAGGGGCCGCTGAAGGATTAATTAAATGCTCTTGAGAAAGGGCCTTGACTATCGGTCTGTTACAGATGCTCCTTCCCAGCAGCAGATTCAATAACCCCATAAACACGCGCATGCAGACACAGAGCGGCGCAGCTGAACCCCCGCGGGTGAGTGCAGGGCGTCTCTCGCTGCTCAGACGGTGGGTGTGTAAGTGGATATCAGTGACGGCGCAGCGACAGCTCGATGCCTCTTTCATCACTGATGCTGCCGTCAGTTCTTCTTTTCCTCTTTTTGTGTTCTAGTGGATGCTGCATTTTTCTGTTCATCTCTGTATTTATCTGGCACTCTACAAATGCTTTAGGCAAACTTAAACTGACTTGAATGTTAGTGTTAGTGTAAACGTCTCAGGTTACTTGTGTAACCATGGTTCCCTGAGTAGGGAACGAGACACTGCGTCTGATTTATTAGTAAACATAAATATTTAATCTTTTTTTTTTTTTTTAGTAAGTGCTTTTATTTTGACTTTCTAGCTGGACTTTAAAGTGGACTCGATCCTCTTTTCATTTGTGATATTTGTGAAGTCCACAATAGGTTCTGGTGTAATTATTATTATTATTATTATTATTATTATTATTATTGCTGTTGTTGTTAGTTATTTACACTGTTTTAGGAACCCAATCAAATTAAGTAGTAGTAGTAGTAATAACAATAATAATAATAATAATAATAATACTTTTAACACTAATTATAAAAATTAAGACAACTGCATTAGTTTTAAATTACAATTGTACTGTAAAATAAAAAAACAAATATTTTATGATCATTTTTATTTTATGCTACAATATACAATACTAATATTTATGTTTTAAATTCTTCACTTATAAACGTTCAAACCCTTAAACTTTTAGCATTTCAAACCTCAAGCTTTTATTTTGGTGGAATAACAACGAGGTGCTGTAAACTTCTGTCCACAGAAATGTTGGAAATTTATGTGAATGAGTAAATAAAACAACGTTGCATTCACAAACGCATATTAAACTCGCGAGACGCTAAAAGCACTGGATCACAAGCTGCTGGCGTGTAAATGAACACAGTGCTGCGCTTCACTCTGAAATG